TGTGTGTGTGTGTGTGTGTGTGTGAGCTTCTATGACCTACATGTAGTTAACCTGATCAGCTACATTAACAGTCCTTACTACATGTTAATGTGATTTATCCAGTACTTTACAGTATAAAACACTGAAAGGTGCCATTCTCCACCCTGTTGAGGAGCCTACTTTCACTTTTATTATTTAAGGATCAGAATTACTGAGGCTACGTGTATTATGAGTTTATTGGTCTTCCAATCCCACTTTATGTTGATCTCAGGTTCACACAGTTGTTAGAGTTGGTGGGATTGCAGCTCAGGTTTACGCATGATACATTCTGAATTTCTAATTGTGATCTATGGGAGCAGGTTAGTTCACACAGAAGCAGGTGTGACTGTAGCTGCCGGGGACAGACAGACTTGACTTAACTTGATTGTTGTATCCCAATAAGATGCAGGAGCCAATCGCTTAAAGCAGGGGAGTGGGGCTTCTCGAGGGAAAGAGTAATACATGTTTTTCATTCTCTGGTTATGCTTGTACTTGTGCAAGCTGTTTTTCTAAACCAGTTTTTTGTTTTGTACACAATATTCCAGTGTCTTACATCTCTACCGCCAGAATAACACTTTTCTGGAGCGGATGCCAGGTCAATATAAAAACGATGAGGATTTTATTTTCACTTTTTAGGATCAATCCCCTCCATGGATGTGTGTGTGTGTGTGTGTGTGTGTGTTGCAAACAATTTAAAAGTTCTGTTTTGTTCTAGAAAAAAAGTGAGAGGGAGGAATGATAACATAAAATAAGTTTCCTATCTTTATTTACAGCATATTAGATGTACAAAACCATAGAAAATATACATACACGTATCATCTAAGACAGGTGAATAGCTCAGTTCTATTTTACAGGATGCCTTGTTTTTTTCATGGTCTCTGACCTTCTGCAGAGTGAGCGGTTGTCTTTGGTTGCTAGTTCATAATACAAAATGTACTGACAGGTACTGGCGAGGCAGCTGATGTCTCATAAATGCATAAAAGCCACTGTTATTTTTTATATTTTTTTTGGGAAAACCCCCCAAAAAAAGCCACAAGCAGTTGCAGCAATGCTATACTGTCCAAATGTATGTAGTTGCTACATTACATTAGCGTTTCACCTAAAACTTTTTACATCATATACAAAAGATTCATCAGAATAATTGCTTTTGTGGTGCCACTACTTCTTTAGTGGCACTAATTTCTCCATGAAAACGTTGTGCTATATTTGTTTCTGTCATTTTGCAGGATTTCGTCTCTACCTGTGAAAGTAGCCTAAGTTAAAACTATAGATACATTGGCTGACATTCATCTGTTTAGCTACCATATTTGTTTTTTAATCACAATGTTCATAATCACAAGTCTCATAATGATGGGTTGTAGAATATTTAGCAATATTCAGATACAGACTTGCAGTTTGTAAATCATGAGAAGTGACTTCAAAATCTAAAAGAGGGTATAAAGTAATTTACAATTTTCAAAAATATGTTTCCAAATTTCCAAACAAAGGGAAGAGACCCCGATTTCTGAGGAATCCTCATTTAGATCTATGTTCCCTCTAAAAGCTCCAGTTATGAATTAACTTGCTTGTCTTGTCTACTTCCAACTCAGGATCATTTTTTATAGAATGTGTTGTCCCCTCATCCCTCCAGGTGAAAACAGGCAACTTCAGAATACTGTTTTTTGGGGCCAGTTGGAAAAAAGCAGATACTGTGGCCGGTATTTAATCTATAACCCAGACACATGGTGAGGACGCTTCTTAGGGGCGAAGGAATCTCAGGACTTTGGAACGCAGGAAGCGGATGAAGGATTTAGGGAACATCTCTCTTGATTCTTGAGCTGTGTAGTTGAAGAAGTTCTGTGGGTGAGCGAGCACATCGAACAACGCCTTCATGAGCTTCTTGTCCTGAGGAGAAGATGTAGTTCATTAATATCATGTAATATATGAAGAGACAGGGCCAATACAGCAGCAGCAGCAGCCTGTAGTCCTACATGTCTCCAAAAGAGGGTGCTACATGTTCACTGGATCCAAATACAGGGTTTACAGATACACACCCGGGAGTGAAGGTAATAATTCTGGAACCTAGGTTAATAGCTTTATTAAATCTTGTTACTTTCACTGTAGCCAAAATCAAACCATCTGTGTTTTCCTAACCTATGAAGCTTATTCACACCTTTGTCCTCTCACACCTGGACTAGTGCAAAGTGTAAAGTTTTATTATTTTTACCAATTGACCTAAATTAAAATCTAAATATTTTTATACTTGATCGCACGTCCAACAGATTTGATATTTCTTCTGACTCTCTTCATTATAAATGACAAAATTCCTTTCTAACTTTAGAACAAAAATAGACACAACACAAACATGATACTCTTTCATAAAAGGTGCCAACTCTCGATACCTTGAGAATTTCCTGGTGATTCTCTGAAGCATATAATCTTCCATCTCTCACAATGTCTTCTATTAACTCCTGGTAGTCCTCTGAAACAAATAAATTCAACAAACAGCTCATTAATGTGACGCATCTTAACAGATTTTAGTGAGAGACAGAGGCGGCAAACATCCCATCTACACAACATCACATTTCATTTTACCATCGTATGTCACATATGGGACCTGGAAGCCTTTCCCGCTGTTTCCCTCATTGGACCTGAACTGTATCCAAAGCCTCTTGGAGCGGGAGGTGAAGGCGATGGGACGTTCATACGTCTGACAAGTCTCGTAGGTCGTCACAGAGTTGGACAGAGCTGTGAGGTAAAGATGTCAGCACAAAGGACAGAATCTGTGATCAGCATACTGTAATACAAAAGGTAGAATTTTATGGAAAGTTCAAACTCACAGCTCTTTCTCATTACTAAGTAGTCTCCACACTCATCCTCAATCGGCAGGAAGATTTCTGGGACGACGATAAGGATCCTACGTTTGGGCGGCGGGTTGATGGTCCAAGTGCATTCGATGTTGGCCGGATAGTTCCCAGGGTAGTTGGGCGACTCAATGTAGCCGGTAAAGTCTCCCAACTGTCCCCCACATTGTCGGTCTGTGAAAAAAATGTAAACATGTCAAATAAAGTTTATTTTTATTCTTGTTACAGCAATTTACCTCAAAATGCTGCTGTATTTTCTACGTGTGCATGCTTCAGGAGAGTTACTGTACATAGACATACATACTTTTGCATTGCATGATGTTGGTGGAGCCATCAAAGTCGGTGGTGGTATTTCCAGGGCAGGCCACACAGTAGTTCTGACCAAACTCCGCCTGATACGTGCCCATTGGACAGCGGATGCAGCGGTGTGTGCTGGTGTTGTAGTAATGTCCTGGAGAGCACTGGACTGCAGGAGCCAAACACAGCGACATGAGGCTGTTAGTTTATGTATTGCTCCTAATATCCATGCTTATGTTTGCGTCTCTAAAATCAGTGCTCTTAATCATTTTAATTAGAAAAATAAAGAAGTTAGTAAAAAAACTTTTCCCCTTGTTCTTCAAACACTGACACATACAAAGTGAGGTTGTTTTAAATGAACTTGATAACAAATCAGCAGCAGGGGGCAGCAGAGTTTCACTCAAATAGATCCATAAACTCAGCAACCATAAGACACTAATGTGAAGTGAAGTAAAAGAAGAGTCTAAAAAAACTACTTTATGTAATAAACCTGACAGCTCTTCATAAACGTTCACAGCTAAAAATGGACCATCTCATCCCTCCACTAATGTTTAGCCATGAAAAAGGATACTGGCACATAACTCAGCCAAGGCCCTCTACCCAACAGGCCCCATAAATGAGCCTGATTCCACCGAGTTTTAATGGAAATCTGTTCAGTTGTTTTTGTGTAATCTAGCCTACACAAAAACCAACCTTGAAAACTTAAAGACAAAACTGAACTGGAATTGATCCAATCACAAGTGGACAGCTCATAGAACGTCAGTTCACTCCTGGGGTTAAGAGTGTGTCATTACTTGAGTCTTGAGTAACCACCTGTGATCTGATTTCTCTTTATATGCAAATAAACATGTACTGTCTGTCATTTCTGTTTGCAAAGACCAAATGCAATATTGTTTTTAGTCAGTCTGACTATGATGAGAGTGAGGGGAAGTGTTGATGCAGATAAATCAATATATGGGAAACACTGACGAGAGAAACAATATTTTCATTTCATTGTGAAACTGTAGCAGGTCAGAGGACGTCAGCTGAGTAGGCGTTTCCTCAATGTGGCCCAGACACATTTGTGTTCACACGGCTAAAAAATGCATCCTTGACCCTGCATCAACACTTTAGACACAGATGACTCTCTCACCTTTGGTCTCACACTCCTGAAAGGTGACTGCACCGCTGCGCTTGGTGACCAGATTCCCTCCACAGGGGAAGCAGGTGGTGCGGCCCACCTCCGGCTGGTACGTCCCCAGTGGACAGGGCAGGCAGGGGATGAAGCCGTCATGAGAGTATTGACCTGGGGAACACTGACCTGAATGCACACAAACAAATGGTCAATAGTTAGACACACAATGTTCAGAACTACACCACGTGGATGAGTTTGATTTCAAAACCTTAAAAATGTGGTATATGAGGAAAACTGCCGGCTTCATTAAGATTAGAGCCAGTGACAAAGCTAAAGCAAAGGCTAATGGAACGCCTCTCACACACTGTGTCTTCAGGGGCACTAATAAAACTAGGTGCCAGTGGGAGTCTGCTGATAGCTCTTCTTGTTTAGTCTGTCAGAGGAGATGGGATCAGGGGCTTAGCCTCGTAGCGATAACAGCACGGGAGGAGACCAAAACATGGTGGCTCCTTCAGCTTTTTATTCAGCCGACTTCATGTTTTGAATTCAAATCCATCTTTCAAATCTGAGCTCCAGCGTCTTTGACTTTACACAGAGCAGAACATCTGCCAGAGGAAGATCTGTATCACGGCACAATCACTTCCTGTGTGGCTCATAATCACAAAGCACTTGTTTACATTTTGTGCCTTTCTTGCTTCTACAGTTTTATTTGTTAAAGATGTTGTATCATGTTTTGCTTTGGCTCATGGATTTGTGTCATTGCTAACTTCTTTCTTTTCTTAAGGGCTATTCAATTTACACTATTGTCACTACAAACAAGAGGAAACACTAAATGTCCAATTTCAAGATATATTTTTGAAATATCAAAAATAACTTTTGCTACGTTCTTTAGCGGAATAGTTTGATGTTTGCTCTGTGAGATTTGAGCAGTGGTGGAGGAAGTACCATATTAACTTTTCTACTTGAGTAAAAGTGAGTACTTTTAAATATACTTTAAGTATCAAAAGTAAAAGTAATATTCCCTAGTAAAAGCCTATTCCCTAATAATGCAACAGTCTTCTACATCATTATGACCATCAGAGTCTCGGCGGAGGCGATGGTGTCTCTGCTACTGCAGGCGCGCTTTGCTCTCATAGAAGGAGGCGGGGTCTAGGTTTACCTGCCCACTCCCATTGGATCAATGGATCAATTCCCCTAGAATTATTAATTACTTTAAAAAAATTTAAAAACGATGCGAGCATGAAACACGATGCTTTGTAAAAATGTTGTGGAGAAGAAAGTACAGATATTAGCTGATAGACCACTTTGAGGTACAATAAGTTTCATGTATTAATTCTATAGATGAAGACAAACCAGTTTATCCATACAATAAAATCATGTTAGTTACTGCTTCCTTCTGCTGAACACTGACTTACCCGCACACTCCGACATGTTTCGAGCACCGACCACCTTCGACACTTCTCTTCCCTCAGGTCCAGGACAAACCTCACAGGACGTCCGTCCCTCCTCACCCTGGTACGTCCCCGCAGGACACAACACACACCTTCCCTGGTCTGCGTCGTAATAAGTACCCACACTGCACCTCACTGACAGACAACACAGGAAAGATGGATTAAAGGTGATTACTTCAATCACTTAGTTGTAGCACACACACGCGCGCACACAAAGAGAATTGAAGTTAGGTTTGCAATGTTTGTGGTTGTTGGTCATATCCCGTCGGTGACAGTTGGGTCTTAGTGCTGTGGTGAGCCATGTTTCTAAATAATTAAACTCATCATTATTCTCTCAGAAAGAATACTGTCATCACTAATCTAATTATTTAAGGACTGTGAAATCAAAGATTCTCCTCAGAAACCAAAACAAACAATTAAAGCCTCTCATAACAGCCGGCGTGTGTGAACGTGTACTTTACATCACTTTAGGAGAGATCAGTGTCAGCCGGTGTTGGACTAATCACATCATAAGAGGGGAGACAGACGGCGTGAAAATCAGACATGAATCAACAAATACAGCGGTGTGGCCCCTGGCTACACAAAATCAAACAGCCCTAACCACGCTGCACATTTACACTGTAAATACAGCGGCTCAATTGCACGACAAGACTATTAAAGTAAAGTAACCCGGACTTCATCAGCTGCCTCTTAAGTGTAACCAAACAGAAGTGTGTACCTACTTGAACTGGATAAACACAATGAAGAGCAGCCACTTTATTATTCACCACCGTTAACACATTAAAGACATGATCTGATCCGTTGACAGTTTGGAGGGATCTGCTTGCATTAATGAATACTACACACATCATTGGCCTAGATGTGGTTAAGCTGAGGTGCAGGAAACTCAGCACATTGCTTTGGGAAGGAAGCAGTT